AGGGGGGAGGGAGGGAAGGGGAAGCTTGTGGGAGGGTGGACGGAGGGGCGGGGGAGGAATCTGCAAGCCGGGAAGTTGGTACCCGTCCGTATAGAGTGAACAAGCTATACAAGTATACACACATAAAAATGCATCCATGTGGGCTGGTTCGCCGAAAGTCACAATGTCACAATACCGCAGACGGAACGACTAGGGAGGGAGGGAGGGCCCCCGACGGGACAAGAGAGAAGGAGTCGCCCATACCCCACCACAAGAGGCATGAGAGGGGCAGGGGCGCAAATACCGAAGAATAGGTGGCTTTACCATGGCTTCCGTGGTGTGCGGAGTAAGTCCTTGAAGCAGGATATAGGCAGTGGGCATTTTCGAGGGTGACGGCAGAGCCACTGGGCGGCGGGGAAATCGATCCGTCGGCTCCCCGTACGCAGGCTTGCCGTTTCGTGCATGTTCCGCCTCGTGCCGATGCCGGGCACGCCGGTCCGACGGCGAAGAATCTTCTCTGTGGCGGTCCTGACGGGGGCTGTCCCGATGCCTGCGGGAAGCACGCGGGTTGGAGCGAGAGCGACGCCGTTCGCGCGAGGAAGACCGACGACGGCTGTACGGGCTGCGGCTACGGCTTCGGCTTCGGCTTCGGCTCCGCTTACGCGAGGAAGAGGAGGACGTGTGTCTTTCCGTGGATTAGAGGGGCAGGGGGAGAGATGATGCGGATGGCATCGGATGAGGCAATGTGGACGGAAGGGAGGGGGAGGTTGCCAATACGAAGGAAATAGGGAACTCAGTTCCGTGTTCGAGGGGCATGCAAAAGATGACATCTGTACGACTCATCACTGCGCAATTATCCAATGCAAAGCAAGCCGTCGTGATCGAATGTCTTCGATATCAGCATGCATCCAGAGAGAAGGAATCGAGCACTGATAAGACACTTAACAAAAAAGAAACGAAAAAGGAAATCAGGCAAAATATTCGAAATCCACGTACCGGGAAGGCATGTCTCGAAAAGAGTAAGACTTTCACCTGTCTTTATCGCGCCTGCGGAAACTGAGATACACGTCAAGCTATTTTCACCCTGCTCTAAGTGGAAAAGCGAAGGGCACGAATAAGGAATGAGTTGGTTTTAAAATGAGTGTACCAAAATGTGAATTCCATTTTTTCCATGCATGTCAGAAGAAGGAGACATTCCAAATTCTGTGGCATTGCGTCGCACAGAAATTCGTGTTCAATGACGGGAGGCTGGGTTGTCTGGCTAGAAAGGTGTCCGCGACGTTCTAATGTAAGGGGGGGAGGTTGCAGCGCATTCTCCCACTGGGTCAGCATCCCAACGCTGCAGTTTGCTTTAGCTCCCTGTGCTTAAAAACCACCCACAGGACATCGAAAGAAAGGCTGATGACAATGTAGCGTCGACAGCGCGGAGCGTATAACGTTTCGTGCTGTTTCTAGCCCTTTTGGCGCCATCAGCAGCAAACCTCCTCTTATTTATGCATTATCCACGTCCACACCACGTCAATAGCCACCAAATTATCATGCCCTGGTCCAGACGGCGGCGTACTTCTCTGAAAAGGCGACCCTGCTTGGTTCTGGTGCTTGCGTCTTCCATGTTGGTGTCCAAGTCTGGTGCTTTTCAGCATCATGGCGTGTTACGTACTAGTGGAGTTACTACCCTGCCAAGTGCAAGCTCAAGTCGAGTGATAACACCAAAGGCGCCATCCGCCCTTTTATCGTGCGCCCAACAAGATGTACAGACAAAGAAACGGCCTTTCTACTCTCGTCTCGAAGTGTTCAATGCTTTATCCACGGGCAACGTCCACCAAGCCTTTTTTAAGATCAGCATCTTACTCCTCGGTAGCAGCTTTGCCGATCCTTTTCTCCTCAGCCCTCTCCCGGCGGTGGCGGCAGACCCTTCGCGGGCACAAATCCAGCAAGTCCAACGTGCCTTTCAAGCCTTCAATGACCGGGACCTGCGGAACGCCGAGGTCTTGTTCGACCAGTCGGTCCAAGCCTGGGAGCAACTGGAGCGGCCGCGGGACGAGATGGCGGCCCTGGTCAAGGCCCGTGGGAACGTGAAGGTCGATCTGAAGAAATTCGAGGCGGCGATCGAGGATTTTGACCGGGTGCTCTCCATCATGAGCGTGGACGGGACCAAGACGGACGGCAGCGGGGAGGCCGCCTACAGCGAATACCCGGATGTATTTGT